GAGCCGAAAAGGAGAGGAGGGACGGCCGGCCTGCCCTCAAAGGCCGGCCGGGCGGGCGATAACCACCCCCGGGCTGGGCCCGCCCGTGGGGGTCCCCGGCGCGGCCGGTGCAGTGCTGGCGCCGGCGTCTGACCGGCTTTCGGCAGCCCTGCGCCTTGGTGTGTAACTTCGTTGTTAGGTGTCTGCCCCTGCTGGGCACACAGAATTCATCCCGGAGCGGTTCCTCCGGAGAAGCAGTGACAGCCCTGCCCACCGCCGCCCTCCTTCCCTCGCTGTTTCCGAACGGACCCGTGTCAGTTATCTGACACAAAGTTGCCGTTGGATTTTAATCACGGCAAATGGCAATTTCGGGTTCTTTTCATTCCACTTTATCAGGAAGAATTGATCCCGAGCTGTATTTGACTCAATAAATACAAATACAGCGGATCTTTTCTCTCTCGCTGAAGCTGCCTGGGAAACAGGAAAGACGCCTAGTACAAAACCGTGCAGAACTTTCAAATGGTGTGGGTTGTTGTTTTTTGGTTGGGGGGAAGCTCTGGTGTAGATTCCCCCCCCTGTGATACCTGAGAGAGAGGACCAGGGCTGCCCCACTTGCAGCTTCAGTTTTGGTGGCATATGTTTGGACAGATAAGATGCTTACCTTACAAGAGGTTCTCTTGTTCAGTCTTAATTGTACGCTCATTGGAAACAGTCTCTTTGAAAAACATGAAGGTACAGGGGGAAGCAAAGCTAAACCTTTTTATGTTGCCTTGCTCTCAAACTAGCTTTCATGGCTAATATTTGCTAATGGCTGCAGCAAGAGAAGACTGACCATGAAGACTAAACCTCCTTAAGGGCAGATCTTTACGAGCAAGCGTGGAGGGATGTAGTCATAGGAAAACACATGAAACAAAATCTTCTTCAGTCTAAAGTTTGTTGTGTTATGACCTCTGCAGTATTTTCATGGGCTAAGCCAGGGGTAAAATGGCATGTTTATTTTTAAAGAAATAAAAGCTAGTGGAAACGTTTATTGTATAAACACTGGCATCCTGTAGACAAAGCTAACAGTGCTAAAATAACTTACCCTTGGATCCTGTGCATTTTTTATTCTGTGTCTTTTCAGGGATCATGCATCTTTCCATCTGTATCTTTGGATGCAGTTTACTATCAAATGAAAATAGTTTCCAGACTATTTTTCAGTTCTGTTTAGAAATATTTGAAGAAATACATTCCTTGAAACATTAGCAACAATTATCTCGGTGAATTCCATGGAAAATAGAGAGGGTTCTTGAATGACCATTGAGTGTGTGTGTGTGTGTGTGTGTGTAGGTCCCAATGCAAAAACATTACCTATCCTTCCTCCCCCACTACCCTTTACAGATAGGAAAAGAGCAGGAGGTCTGAGGAAATTATGAGTCCATCAGGCTCAGCTCAACATCCAGAGAGCCATTAGAAAAATAACACAATGATGAAACAATATTCATCCAGGAAGTGTTTACAAATAAACACCCAGCATCACCCATGAACAGCCAACACAGATTTGTCAAGAGTATATGTCAAATAATCTGATTTTATTCTTTGGTAGGACAGCTGGTTAAATGGATGAAAAGGAAATAAATAGTAGGTGTGTTATTTTGTAACAAATGTGACTGTTTATGCTCTCCCACATAAGAATATATCATGTAGGGAAAAAGTAACCAATCCTTCCTAATAAAGCGTTATCAAAATAGGAGGAATAAACACAAGGAGATGGGTTTGTGCCCCAAGAGCTAATCAGCATTAGTCACAATAACTGGAATCATGGACTAAAAATGGTGCTTATAAAAGCTTTTTAATCACAGCATGTTGAAAGAAGTTACAAGCATGTTGAATGACAGGATCAACTTAAAAATATTGAATAGGCTGGAGAAATCAACAAGAAGAAATTTCACAAAAATATAAAGTACTATCTGTAAAACCAGGACATCAAATGCACAAATACAAAATGGGGACTAATAGTCTAGTCAGTAGTGCTGCAGAAAAAAATATGGAATTACAATAAATAGGAACCCAAGTATGATGTTATAAATAACTAAATACATCGAATAACACCACAAAGGGCACAGAAGGCAGTTACGTTGTTCTGCCTGGTGTTGATCAGGCATCGAATGTAACTCTCAGCCCAGTGTGATGGTAGGACGGAGACAGAAAAGTAGTTCTTCCTGAAGGCAGCAAGACCAAAAGGAAGCTTAGAAAATGTGATTTGTGGAGGAACTGCATTTGTTTTGTATTCCTTGCCCAGTCTTCCTTGTAGATGTCTCTGACTGTGTAGTGATTTACTGAAAAAGGTGATTAATGGGCCAATGTACAGTGTAAGGTAGGACAAGAAATAATGGCTTTAATTTGAACTCAGGAGATTAATGTTAAATATTAGAAAAAAAAAATCCAAGTGTAAGAGTAATAAAGCACTGAAGCAGACTTGGTTTGGAATCACCTTCACTGGATCAATAACACATTAGATAGCATCTGCCAGGCATCCAGCTAGCCTTAAGAGAGGAGGAGGTATTAAATTATCTTTTGAGATAGTTTTAGACTTATATTTATTCAACTTTCACAACTATTGAGTGGTCATTTTCCTTTTTTTCCTAAGAGATTCACTTTTTATCTAATTTCAATAATCAAAATCACTGATATTTTTCCTCTTTTTTTCCTGAGAATAACTGATGCTATTACTGATTTCGCAAGAGCAATGCTAAATTGTAACAAGGAGCCAGTACACTTTTTTTCAAGGGGAGTTACCTGATAACATTGCTTAATTCGTTATCACACTACTGTGAATTGCAAACTGGAAAATGCAAATGGATTTGCAGTATAATTAGTTCTGTGAATCATAATAGGAAATGCGAAAAGTGCTGAAAGAGGTAGCTCAGAAATACAACGCTAAATTTGAAAGAGCTGTAGGCTTTCATCATTCAAATGCAGAACAGGAGCTCTTAAAAAGACCGAGAATAAACAGAGCAGCTCAAATAATTTGTTGATTAAAAAGCAAATATTTGAAGAGAACTTGGCATACTGGAGAGGTGGCAGTCTGTGCAGGCTGCGCAGATCCTCCACTGCGTGAGCAGAGGCAGTACAAAATGTGAATACCAATGCAGCCAAAATAATATGCCTCCTCTGTCACTTTTTCCTTTAAACTGTTGTAAACATTTTAAACCTTCACATCTACCTTAAACTGTTGAATACAAAATCAGTAGAATTCTGGTATTTAATTTTTTCTGACTTAGTTCCTAAGCTATGGGCAGCCAGATGCCAGAGGAAGGATCGGCGTGTGCTGCTCTTGTTCTTGCTCCCTTCCAACGCACTCACTGCTAGGCACCACAGGGAATGGAGTGATGGATTAGGTGGACTCTTGGGCTAATCAATATGGCAGCTTTTGTGTTGCCCAGATCAGGGATGCTTGGCCCTAGCAGAGGTTTTAATGATTTGCTTTTCTGAATTATTTTTTTTTCTGAGAGTTGTTTTAATGTTAACTGCAGTGACTCGCTAGAACTTCTTTGAAGAGCTGAGTGCCCACTCAACAATTGTTTAAAAAATTCTTAGTGAATTGTCAGAGACATCGCTATTTCCATAGCTACAAATGGTCTGTCAAAGCAGATTCTGTATTTTTTGGAATTGTCACGATACTGGAAAATCACATTGTGATCATGAGCGAGAACAGGAGTACAGTACTGAGCCGGTGCAAGTGGCTTAGCCCAGCCCCATGGAACAAAGCGTGGAGCTGGAATTGCTGCTACTGCGTCCGCCCGGTGCTGCCTTCGGTCCACTCGGCTGCTGCGAGCAGGGTGTTTGCTCAGTCCCAAACTGGAGTGCCTGTATTGCAAGTCCATGCTGGCTTCCTTAGAGGCTGATTTGATTTGTCAGGTGAGCTTTGTGATACGGCAAGATACACAGTCAATTTTAGGGTTAAGCTTGACCAGCTGCCACTGTTATATGCCCTAAATATTTATTTGTAGTCAGTGTTTAAGACATACATCAAGGTAGAATAATTTTCCAATGCTACTAAGTTTGCATAGCACCTACTTAAATGATCCAAAACATTAACATTAGCGTTATGACATCTGATAACTGAATAAATAGGAAGTTTTAATTCTTTTTCATGATTAATATTACTTGGATTTTTATAATGTTATTTTCTGTAAATATAGCTTACATGATGTGTTTGAAATGAGAATGAAGCAACAATATTTTACTCAAGTTAGATATCTCTTCTAACTCTATAGAATTTTCTGATGCTACATATTTTTAAAACATTCAGTAAAACCATAATTGGTAAAAGCAAATGATCTAATGAAGTCTCTTCAAGGGAACAAACTAAAAGCACATGCTAACTTGCCCTCTGCATTAAGTGGTGTTTTGATTTATGCGCTGTTTGTCTTTGAAAGTATGGTTCTACGAGCTTTAGACTACACAAACACAACAGGGCTTTGCATTCAGCTGCTTCTTCTGAAAGGCCATGAGGGCTGTGTTTGTTATGGGAACGCTTTCTGCTATGGGATGTGTAGTTGGGTGGCATCCTCATTTCTTCTCGGGAGTAAGTGGGTTAAATAAGTACCTTCCCTTTCCCGTGCTGAGATCCCCTGCCTCCTAGCACCCTGGGCACGCTGCCCAGGCAAAACTGTGTCATTGATAAACAGGGCAGTGGTCTGCACGGTTGGTGGACCAGGACTCCTGTGATGTGCTGCAACACATCAGCAGGTAGCTGCAGATGAGTCTGTGGCACTTGGTATTAAAAGAAAGCACTTGGAGCTCTTTCCTCAACCACTCCTGACAACTCTTGTATGTTCAGGTGACCAGAGAGCAACCAGC